TCTCGGTGGGTTCCCACCATCAGCTGTGCAGTTTTGCCCCAATTTGGCCAATCTTCTCCCCAAAATGCCCCTTGGCACTGATGGTGGTGCGACGCTGCCTGGAGCTGGGAAACCTCTCCCTCCCCGCGTGGACGCCGCGTGCAAATATTTATTTACACAGCGTAAAGGGGCTTATTTATTAAGCTCTGGCTGACAACTGTATCCAAACTAATTTCTCTTAATAAGGCACTTGCAGTCACCCTGGCAACAGCATCGGAGCACCCTTCCTTCAGACGATGTCTTAACGGGGTGAAAATCCCCTTGGATGCAAAGGGGGATGCTGAGAGGGACCCTTCGGAGATGCTGCAGCTGGAAAGACCCAACCCCACTCCTGGGGAGACCCTCTCCGCCCCCGGAGAAGACGGCAGTTCGCAGCTTCTCCTAGCAGCCAGCCTTGCTCTCATTAGTGGCCCAATTAGCCAAGTGAAGGCCAGCTAATAAATCACAGTGGCCGTGGCACGGTGGGCAGGCACGGCCGGGCACTTTTTTAGCCCGTGGTGGGGCTCAGCAGCTTGGCTCGGGCGAGACGACGGCAAAAGTGGCATTTTTCATCCATGCAGCTTTGCCAAGAGTGCAGCAAAGACAGGCAGCGCTGGGGCAGGGTGGAGAATTTGGGAAGGGAAATAGGATTAAAGAGCAATGGCCAACTCCTGCCCAGTGCCCTTCTCTGGCCGGCGTCAGTTATTAATACCTGTAATAATAACAGTAATTAAGGAAGGTGTAGGATGAAGGTAGAAGGGTTTTGGCATCCTCCCAACGGCCAGGGTGACCAGTTAATGTTGAAAGCCCTCGTACTAGAGGCAGAGGTGGTGGCAGGATTTCTCTGCTCCTCTTCTCTGCCTCATAGAAGAACTAAACCCAACTGCCCCTGGTTTTTAAAACCCCGTATCCATCAGCTTGCAAAGTGCTGGGCAATCTGGGGTTTGCAAAAACACAACTCCCCAGAACCTGATGGAAGCTCCTTCCCCTCTGAAATCCGGATCTTAACTCCTGCACGAAAGTAGGACGGGATTTTTTTGGACAGCCCATGCAATGCTCCAGCCAGCTGGGGTGCCCCCCAGGGAAAAGGGTGGGCACAGCCCCAGGAAACCCACCCCCAAAAAAGGAACTCATGCCAGGCAGTCAAGCAGGCTGTGATTTACTGGGACAACAGCACTTGTGCGACAGAGAACATGACTGCACCGAGGTACCCGGCCGGCAAACCCACAGCACCGTCGAGCATCGCCACGCTGGGACTCCGGCAAGGTGACCCCGAGAGCAGAGGGATGCTCGTGGTCCCCAGCGCCCGTTTCCCACCTGTCTCTCCCCCCAGACACACGGACACAAAACAGAAACCTGCTGAAACACGGCAAGGCTGCTACATGCTGCAGGAGGGAGCAAAAGTCAATATGTTTCGACGAGCTCCATGGCACCGCAGCCACGCCAGAGGCGATGGTGTGCGATTCCCTCCGTAGGCACTTGATCCGTGGAGCTGCCGCTGGCTGGATCTTGCAGAAAAGCCCCGTCCTGGGGGCTGCCAGGCGGGGCCCGACGCTGCCAGGGCCAGGCGGTGAGCTCCATGCCTCCTCGGTTGGCAGAGAACGAACTAGGAAGTCTGCAGGCACCGTGCAGGGTGGTGATGGTGAGCGTCCCCGTGCCTGTCGGGGTCCCAAGCGGCAGGTTTGAGGAGACTCACCCGCTCCGTGTCCCGGCATGGACCATTCTGGAGCATCCTCCGACGCCGAGCTGGCCACGGCAGCTGGGCAGAGGTGGTGCGCACGGCACAGGTCAGGGCTGGAGAAGCGAGAGCAGCGGGGAGAGCAACGTCGGGCTCCAAAACGGGGTCACCTGCTTCATCCCCTTTTCCTTCCCTGAAAGCCAAGGGGATGTACGAAGTGCTGCGCCGACGCTGCGCACTCACCCCCGAACACAGAACAAGGGACGTGTTGACTCATGAGCCCCCAAAGTTGGGGAGGACACTCATTTTGCCAATTGGCTCCAGTATAACAGAGTGCTGGGCAGCTCCCAGGAGTCAGCCCGGGTCTTTTGGGAGAATGACGGGATCAGGAACCAGCTCACGAGTAACCCCAGGGGGGCTGAGATGCACGTGGCCTGGGAACAAACCCTGCTCTGGTAAAGTCATGGGAAGCAGAGAGGGTCGTGGGGGGCCGGGAGCTGAAGGAAGGCAGGAAACAAGAGGTAGGTTTTGCTCGTGAGCTAAAATACTCCCCATCTCCATCGGCTCCGCTCCGCAAAAAGCAAAAGATTTCATGCAAGGCAGGTTCCTGCTCACGACGCTTTGCTAGGGAACAGAGGGGAGGCTTTCCTCCACGGGAAGGTTTCAAAGAGAAAATGCTTTGTCTAAGGAGGAAACACCCTTTCCCATATTCCCATGTTTCCCCAGTTTCCCAACTCTGCAGCTGGAAAGTTCTAAGCTCTCACACTCAACGCTCCCCTTCTTACTCGTCGCTCCTCGGCAGAGGAGCCGAAATCCCGCTGCCTGTGACTCAACTGCATTTCGTTTGATTTTTCTAAGCCCTCAAACAAAACCAATTCAAGTCGAACCAGAACCAGAACTGGGCCCTTTGTCCAGAAGAAAATTAAAACCCTCCCCAAAACATGGAACCTGTATTTCCCCGTGGGAAACCACTGACTTCTAGTAACGAGTGAACTTGTGGTTGGAAAACGTCTGCTCCAAACTTCTCCTCCCTGTCTCCTCCTCTTCTTCCCATCAGCTTCTGGAAGCCACAGTCCTCACAGTGCCCCCGGTGCCCTCAGTCCGCTATGAATTACGGTGGATAACGAAGCTCCCGGCAATCACCCGGGTATTGTTGGGCTGTGCTGGAGCCGGTGAAGGGATTTTGCTGCACCAGGGTGGAAGCTGCCCGTCACGGAGAACAACTCGGCCGGGCTCCTGTGGAGGTGTGGTACCCACGATGGGTCCAGGGATGCCATTTGTGTCCGGTCACCTCTTGGCTTTAAGCATCACGAATGCAAGAAGTGGAGATGGGGAGAGCGATGGCTCCATCGCCCCGGGGGACTGTGATGGGGTTTGGTCCCAGCCTCTGACTGGTCTGGCTGGTGGGTGCATCGCTGGGCTTGAGGCAAGGCAGTATCCTTCTGGCCGTGACAGCGGGATTGCTCTTCTCATGGTCAGTCCCATCCCAAATTTCCTTTGGTCCACGAGAAGAGTGTGCTGTCAGATGTCCACCTTCGACAAAAGACATCTGAGATGGCAGAAGCCAGGCAGGAGCCTTGGGAGAGCAGGGATTTGGGGCTGGGAAGAGGCAGCCAAGCGAGGACAGGGCAGGCATCAGAGAGACCTGCTCTGGGAACGGGGCTGGGAGCCAGAAGAAAGCAGGATCAGAGGGAACTGCTGTAGCTGGAGGTGCCGCTCCAGTTAAAAATAAATAGCATCCTCCTGCGGACAGACGGTGGGTACCCTCCCGGGGCAAAATACAGAGCAGGGATTTGGGGCTGGGAAGAGGCAGCCAAGCGAGGACAGGGCAGGCATCAGAGAGACCTGCTCTGGGAACGGGGCTGGGAGCCAGAAGAAAGCAGGATCAGAGGGAACTGCTGTAGCTGGAGGTGCCGCTCCAGTTAAAAATAAATAGCATCCTCCTGCGGACAGACGGTGGGTACCCTCCCGGGGCAAAATACCAACGGCTGAGCACAGGATTTTGCCCGGGCTGCTTCCGTTGCCAGGGTTTGCTCTAATAAACACGCACTGACCCTGCAGTAGGGGAATTCTGCTCCTTGGAGGAGTTTCCTGGAGGACAGTTCCATGCTCCTGTGCCATCAGTAAACTGCCCGAGCCTCTCTCCTCAGCCTCTTTACACGCTGCTTGGGTTGTAGCACAGCAGGTTGAACTCCAGGTTTTCATCCCAGTGTCGGAGCAGGACAAAGAGCTGCTGGGCTGCGGCTTTCACTATGGCCA